GATAGAAACCAGTCCCAATAGTTGGGTCGGTATTAGCAGAGGTAAATCTCCATAAAGGCACATAAACTCCACAAAACCAGGCAGAAGTACCCAAATGTGCCACTGTGGAAAAGTAGAGTTTAACTGGCTTGACAAAATATATGGCCGACTCAATCTTATAAATTATAAAAGCATGTAAAATCCGTTCTCGACGCAAAGCTCGTCAACAGAGGGTTTAACTTGGTCAACAAAATTCACACCTGGCTCTATCGCATAAATTAGAAACGTGTAAAACTCATTGTCGACGTAAATTGCGTAGACACCGGGTTGAACTTGCTTAACAAAATGAACACCAGATTCAATCCCATCAATTAGAAAGGCATGTAAAACACACTCCCAATCAAAACTCGTCAACACCGGGTTCAATTTGGTAAACAAAATCCACACCCGGCTCAATCTCGTAACTTATAAAGCTTGTAAAACTCATTGTCGATGCGTCACAAAGCAGTTTGACAACATTTGGGCATATAGAATAACTGAATCAATCCCATAAATTAGAGAAGCATGCGAAACCCGTTCTCGAAGCAAAATCCATCAACACCGAGTTCCACTCGATCAACAAATTCCACACATGTTCTAACGTGTAAATTACAAAAGCATGTAAAATACCTATCCAAAATTCATCAACGACAATTTGATATAGCAAGGCGATCTTTAACAAAACGCACCCGACCGAACCTGTGAATTACAAAAATGGGTAAAACTCGTCCTCAACTCGCTTTACTCCGAAGCAAAATTCATCAACACCAGGTTCAACTCGATCAACAAATTCAACACATGTGCTAACGTGTAAATTACAAAAGCATGTAAAATACCGATCCAAAATTCATCAACGACAATTTGATATAGCAGGGCGATCTTTAACAAAACAGGCACCCGACCCAACCTGTCAATTACAAAAATGGGTAAAACTCGTCCTCAACTCGCTTTACTCTGGTTGAATACCCATTAATTTGGGTCCAATTTGGGCTCAATTGTCACAAATTAATCAATTTGGGGTCAATTGTCATAGGCTAATTAATTGGAACTTTAATGGCATTTAAACCCCTCTAAACTTTTGTTAATTACAAAAAGATCACTTATTTGATGTGACTCTAAGGAATAGTAAAATCTTGCTTGTTCTTTTAATAATATATATATATACACGGTACCCCAGTGAAATCCGGGGTACCGTATACCTTGAGTATGAAAACTCTGTCTAGACCTCGAATTAACAGGATTTTTGGACTTGATACTATACCCTAACTCTTAATGAGTGAACCCTAGGTCCTAGTTATCTAAATCATAAACTATAAACCCTAAATGGTGCATTGATTTTTTTGCCTATATTTGGATGAATCATAACCGTCGATTATTGTTTCTAATTAAATTAATCTTGGGGTATAAGATTTAGAGAATTTAGACCTAGATTTTGATCTTTAAGGGTTAGAGTATAGTTTCATGCCCGAAAGATCTGTCAATTCAAGTTCTGGATAGCGTTTTCTTACTCAAGGTATGAATAGTGATGTCAATGGGTCGGGGCGGGTATCTCAATACCCATGGCCCGCCCCACGCTAGTACGGGTCGGGAAAGGTAATACCCGCGCGGGTACTAGGCAGGGCGGGTCGATCCACTCTTACATGCTATTTGAGAAAACACACGCACAAATTTACTTTTTATGATAAAACGAAGGGCAAAAGACTTGATGAATGAATAATAGTGGTAATATAATAAGTAATTGAGTCTATTTAGTTGAAAGATCACGTCTAACTAGTTGAATAATAGCCAAAATAGAGAATATATGAATGGATGGGGTAAAAAATTGACCTAGAACGGGCTAAAAATGGGGCAGGGCGGGTCGGAAGTTGATACACATGCCCCGCCCCACGCTAATGCGGGTGGGTAATACCCGCCCCATCGCGGGTTAGGTCGGGTATTACCCGGTGGGGCGGGTTAAAATTGCCATCCCTAGTATGCGGTACTCCGGATTTCACCCGGGGTACCGTATACCTAGAGTATGAAAGCTCTATCTAGACCTCGAATTAACAGGATTTTTGGACGTGATACTATACCCTAACCCTTAATTAGTGAACCCTAGGTCCTAGTTATCTAAAACATAAACTATAAACCCTAAAATGGTGCATTTTTTTTGCCTATATCTAGACGAATCATAATCGTTGATTATTGTTTCCAATTAAATTGATCTTTGGGTATAAAATTTTGAGAATTAAGGCCTAGATTGTGATCTTTAAGGGTTAGAGTATAGTATCATGTCCGAAAGTTCAATCAATTCAAGGTCTAAATAGCGTTTTCATACTCAATGTATGCGGTACCCCGAATTTCACCCTAGATACTGTAGAACTCTCCATATATATATATATATATATATATATATATATATAATAATAATAATAATAATAATAATTAATTAATTAATATTTCCCTTCCCATGCTATAACAACACGGCTCAGTCAATTTCCAACGAACTTCAGCTTGAAGAGATAACCGAGAATACCCAGCATGAAATTTGTGTCCCCGCCGTGTGCTGAACTTCAAACCGAAATGGAGCGACTAGGGCTGATCTCCAATGATCGACCTGTAGGATGCGCTTCTCAGACGGGACACTTAGATTAGATCGGGGGTTAACCGTGGGTTACAACCGGAAACCGGACGGTTTTAACCGTTCCGGTTACAACCGGAAACCGTATCCCCAATAACCCAATCCAATTGGCGGTTGCTTGTTGTCTGGAAAAAACCGGCCCGGTCCGGTCCGGTTTAAAACCGGGAAACTGTTTAAAACTGGATGGGTCCAACCCACTAAATTATTACTAACTAACCAGGCCCATTTTATGAAGCCCAACCCAAAATTACCCAAACCCACTAACCCACTAACCCACCCAGGGGGAAAAGGAAAACCCTAATCGGCTACCCAGACCCTAATCGCCGCCGTCCCCAATCCATTTCCGCTTTTCATTTCCGCAGCTGACTGAAACCCTCTCGCAGTCTCGCCTCTGCTCAATCCCTCGGCGGCGACGACGAGGCACACAGCTGGCGACGACGAGGCAAACGACGGCTCCGTCATCTCCCTTCTATCTCCGTTCGTTCGAGTCTTCGAGAGCAGTCCGCGCAGTCGATCTCCCCCGTCTCCTGTACATCTCCCTTCGAGCGCCATCATCTCACCCCTCACCAGACTCAATCGACGAGCCGACGACACCTCTAGACTCCGGCGAGCGGCGACGACCTTGGTAGAACGACGGTAAGTCTCTCTCTGACCCTCGCCTCTCCATTTCTCATGGATTTCCCGTCAATCCAGCCATCCCCTGAGTTCATAGATCACTGAATGCAGGCATGCAGCCGCCCCAGCCACCAGCAGCAGCCGTTCTCACTTCGTCCCAGCAGCAGAAAACCAGGTCGACAACTGCAAATCGAGAGATGCAAGGAAGCAGCAGCGCCTGGGTAAGTTCGAGGAAGCCGAGAGCCTTTTCACTTCTCCATTTTGTTCATTTCTCTTGGTTCTTCTTGTCGAATCTAAAGTTTGTATTTTTGTGGTAAATTTTCAGGGTAGCAGCAATAACAAGAAGAGATTGCTAAATCAAGATGAAAATGTGCCATGTGTTCTCCCTAAAGTGCCTCGTGTGGAAATGAGTAGCAATGATCCTCCTCCCGTTAACTTGCCAACACCACAGCTACATGCACAAGAACGGACAGCAGCTACTACAACTCAAACAACAACCCAAACACAACCTGAAACCACTACAACTGAGAAGGAAAAAGGAAAGGGAAAGGCTAAAGCCCCAGCTAAGAGGGAAAGGCTAAACCACTACATTACACATCAAACTCCATGGATTTTTTTTTATTTTGTTTTATTCACAATTACTCCACTGAATTCAAAACACACAATCTAACTAAAAATTGACATATATTTATACATATAATTTTGACGATGAGAAATTATCCTAGTTCAAATGTTGTGAAGTAGTAATCATCAAATAATTATTTTTTAAAAAAAAACCGAAGCAGTAGGAGCTAGCTAATTGCCCGAATGACACGGTCTATTTAACTCATATTATCCCTGCAACTGCAATCAATATAATATAACTACATCATAATTGATTCTCTTCTCTCACACACATGAATTCAGGAAAGAAACCGTTGAGCTTCTTCTCCGCGTTTGACTTGACCCCCTTCATCCGCATATTAGCTGTAGCTTCGAGTCAAGTTCGTTGAGCTAGTGTTTGTATAAATAAAATAACAATAATAATGCTGAGGAGATTGAAGATGCCTTCACCTTTCCTCTGATGGCCTACTGCGTTGATCCTGCTGAAGATGTGGAGCAGCAGCTGGTCGCTCCTCTCCTCAACGAGCCCAATTCAGCTTCTTCCAACAATGAAATTTGGGCGCGACGACCATGGGAGGACTTGTGGCCACATCTCCTGAACTCGATTTACGCAAGGCTGCCTACCCACATCGACGGCACCGAGTTCGGCTCTGTTTGCAAGAACTGGCGCCAAGTTCACTGCACCGCCGCACTTTCCACCACCCCCTTGCCCCTCACCGTCGAGAAGCCATGGAGTACTTCTACCAGCTCCAGCAACAGCAAGGATAACGTGATTGGATTTGGTGCGCAATCCGTGGTGACAAAAACCAGAATTACGACGACTGAGAGCCGGATGAGGACGGGCCGAATCCCTGGCTCGGGGGACGGCAGCGGCCTTGCCTTTTCCCGCATGACGATCGTCGGGACCGCCGGCGCGTGGTGGCTGCTGGTGCAGGAGGAGCTCAAGTCAGGACGCGGCAAAATCGACTGCTGCTTCAATCCCTTGCTCCGGAGCCCTGTGAATCTAATCGCCCTGCCCCAATTGTCCACTTGCTCTCAGCTCGCGACGCATTACGATGCATCCAAAGTCAAAGCCGCTTTCTCGGCGCTGCCAACCGCGTGCGATTGGGCAATCATGGTGGTTTACCCGCCGCGTCGATTCAGCACCCTCCGCAGCGGCCAGCGCTTTTGGAGATGTTATGAATTCGGCGGCAAGGGAGAATCCGATTGCATCGGCATCGGATACAGAGACGGCAAGTTCTTTTGCTTGTTCGAAAACGGAGAATTACTGATTTTCTCGGTCGAGGAGGGCGGCGGCGAGCGCCGTATGTTGATACCTGGCTCAAGGCCGCCTCGGCTTTTGGCGAATCTCCACCGCGTGGACAATTACCTCTGTGTTGCCGGCTCCGAAAGCGGCCTCCTGAGGGTCAGCTGGGGCAGAATTGATGAAAGTAAAGGGATCTTCTTCCGGTTGCTGACGGTGGAGAAAGTAACGGCGGCGCAATTTGGGAATGATGAAGCGGTCGCTAGGTTAGAGGAAGGGCAGCGCGCGGAGGTGGTTTACCAGAATGCCCCAACTCCTATCATACGCCGAGATTTTGTAACGTATATTGTGCCACTTGTTCTTCTGATCGGGTTGCTGAGTGGCTTTGTAGTTTTAGCAATTATGGTGTAGGCCAAACATCACGGGTTACTATAGTTTCTTTCTAAACAATAACTAGCCATGGCCCGCTCGCTTCGCTTCGCGAATAAGTGGAATACATATTTTTTATGCATGTATTTGGTAAGAAAGGAAGGTAGAATCTGAAATTAAGTAATTTGAGTAAGAATAGATAGTTTTCTTCCACAGATATATCATACATTAAACGAAAGTCCTGAACAGCTGGTACTTTTTCTTGGGTAGAAACTGAATAGTTGATATAGTAAGTAGTCTATTCATAGTAGTAACAAAGTGGATCCCATAGCGTGATATCTGAAGAGTCGGGTGTAAGTCATCTTTCCTCATGATTGGCTGGACCTCCGCTGTAATTTTTTTTGTCTCGTACAGATGATATGCGAGCAAGTCTTGTCTCATTTGTCATTTTGGAAAATTCTTCAGGAGAACATTTCAATAGTGTAGTTGCTGCATTGTGCTCAAAGAGAAAACTGGATTTTGTGAACAGGTCCTTGCACAAAATTTGTAAAAATCGAGTTAAACTCGCTTTAACCAGACCGAATACCAATTGATTTGAACATTGATTCAAGCTTAATGATATAATTTAATTGCTTGGAAACTTAATGGTATAAAGACTCCTCAAAATTTCATTTAGTAGGAGGACTAAATAATTAACTTTTGCCTCCCATTGATATGACACTAAAAATATAGGAGTCTAGTAATTAGTAGACACTAAAAATGTAGGAGTCTAGTAATTAGCAGGAGGACTAAATAATCAACTTTTGCCTCCCATTGATTTGACACTAATGAAAAGTAAAACCCTTACTTGTTCTTTTAAAGAACTAACCAAAATTTGTAAAAATCGAGTTAAACTCGCTTTAACCGGATTAAATTAGGCCTCAATTTTCATAAATTGATTGATTTACAACCTTAATGGCATAAAAACGCCAACGTTAGAGCGGGTAAAATTCGTTGTTGCAAAAAATTCGGCAATACTGGTTGAACATTGATTCAAGCTTGTAAAAACTCCAAAGGGTTGAATTCGGTCAAATACCAATTGATTTGAATTCAATTAGGGGTCAATTGACATAAGTTAATTAATTAAAACCTTAATGGCATAAAAGCTCCAAGCTCTGAGAGTATAAAATTCGTCAATACCAGTTGAACATTGATTTAAGCCTGTAAGAACTCCAAAGGGTCGAATTAGGTCGATTTAAAGGTGTAAACTCATTGTCGACCCAAAATTTGTAAACATCGAGTTAAACTCGCTTTAACCGGGCCGAATACCAATTGATTTGAACATTGATTCAAGCGTGTAAGAACTCCAAAGGGTCAAATTAGGTCAATTTAAGCGTGTAAACTCGTTGTCGACCCAAAATTTGTAAAAATTGAGTTAAACTCTCTTTAACCGGGCCGAATACCAGTTTATTTGAACATTGATTCAAGCTTAATGTTATAATTTAATTGCTTGGAAACTTAATGGCATAAAGACTCCTCAAAGCTTTGGTTAGTAGGAGTCTAGTAATTAGTAGGAGAACTAAATAATCAACTTTTGTTTCCCATTGATTTGACACTAAAAAAATAAGAGTATTAATAAGTAGACACTAAAATCGTAATGCATGTATTTGTAATCAAAACAATCATTTTCATTTCATCACGAACAAATTCTTTTCATTTTTATAAGAATAGAGCTCTAGCTTCCAAGAAAAGTTTCCAAATAAAAGAACGTAAAGAGAGAGGAGAGTTGAACTCCTCAACCTAACAAAGAAAACATGAACCCTTAAATAGAAATCAAACTTATTCTTATGGAAAATTATCCGACTCTAGTCAATTCGTATTAAGGAACGTCTAGAGCCAAGCTTCTTGGAATGTTCTTAAGAAGCCAGAAATGCAATTCTTACATGTTCTGATTCGTTTAGAACGCCTCCTATATATTGTTGTCCAAATCATCTTCTTCCTCAACCTTGTTTTCCTTCCCTTCTCCCAATCTTCTTCTTCCTCCTCCTCATCTTGGTTTTCCTTCTCAGGATCGCCTCCCACTTCATGTGCCCTAATGATGTACACCTGAGCCACCATATATGAACTTGATTAAACTATCCTCTCGTATTATTGGAAAAAAGAAGACCCAATCCACAGAGGGAGAGGGTTTAGGTAAAAAAAGGGTTGACTCAACCTTAAACTCTGTGGGGCTGACCAACTGGAAAACCAATGCGCGCGTCTCCATCGACCAGCACGTGATCCATGACGAATGGCCAAGCACGCTGAATCGAATAGATTATGTGACGTTCCCATCTCGTTCATCGCACCAAGTCACCGACGGCAGCTCTATCTTCACTTTTTTATATATGAAATGAAATCCAGCTTCACCTCGGCCTACAATGAAAAATAAACAAAAGGAAAACAAAAAATTATTTAAATGCCAAGGGTACTATAACCGAAACCCCGAAGCAGCCAGAGAAAACTAAAAGTCCGAACCAATCCAAAATTTATAACGCGTGCTCTTGTTCATCGGACTTCCTCTTCTTCTTGGCGTCATTATCTTTTCCTGATGACAAGAAAATCCCAAAAAGTGAGCTTGCTAGCTAGAAAATCAAACATGGAGAATCAAAGAGAGATGCTCACCACCGTCGTTGGTTTTGTCGCTTGATGATAAGGGATGGGCTGATAACGCGCTTCTCCGTCTCTGTCGGTGAGAAAAGCTCAACCGCCATGCTGCTACTCGATTCGACGGAGAAGAAACTTAGATGGAGACATACAAACTGAATAAGCTTGGGAAATCAAGAAAAAAATTCAAAATGGAAGCTGAATTTGGAGAAAATGTGAAGAAATCAATTTAGAAAGTATGATTTATTTTTTCTTCTATTCTCTTCCTCTTTTTGTTGCAGAACAATGGTTAGATATGAATTATTGTGACTTGTGAAAGATGACTGAGAGAGAGAATGGGAAGGGATTGAAGTAGAGAAAAAGTGAGGAACAACTCTTCTTTTCTTCTTCTGAGTGTGAGAGTTGGAGAGAGAAAGAGAGGTAAAATTGTTGGAGAAGAGGGAAAACATCCCACGCAAAAAGAGAAGAAAGTTGAATGAGATGGAGTAGGAGTAGGAGAGGGATATAAAAAAAAAGAATAATATTTTTTTGTTGCTTGTTAATTGATTAATGAACTGTTGGATTCGGTCGGTTGTGGGTGGTGAATATGTGGATTTCAATTGTCTCTAAACTTTATTTTGTTGGTTGTTTTCAGTTGATTATGGAAGGGTTGATGGATGATATGAGCACAGGCAAGGACACAGAAATTGACTTGAATGTTGGTTTAGATTGGGGAATGGATTATGGAGATGATACCGGTGGTGTTAGAGATAGTGACGATATGGAGGACAATGTCGACACCAGCGATAGTGATTCTGAGGATGATAATAACACTAACATTGGTGATGATGATAAGGAAAACATCTCATATGAGCATTTGCACAACTTCGAAACATAGCCACACAGCTCTGATGCACCTCTACACAAAGATGATGCAAATCTAGGCAAGGCTCCACCGTCCTCGAGTATGTATACTGGATCCTACTTGATAATGTCGGGAATGGGAAGCCATATGCTAAATGGGAGTCGAATGATGTTGTGGGTTATGAGTTTGAAACCCTTGTGGAGGCTGGCAAGTTCTATTCAACTTATGGTTCTACCAAGGGATTCAGCTTTCCTTGCTGGGATGACTACGTCACAATGTTGTGAGAGCATGAACTCTTATCTAGACAAATTTTTGCAAAGTAAGATGAAGTTGTTTGAGTTTGTCAAGCAGTTTGACATGACACTTTTGTATAGGAGACAAACTGAGTTACATGACCAGTTTAAGACAATACATACTGATGTTGTTTTGATGACACATTTACATGAAATTGAAAGACATGCCTCTATAGTATATACAAGAAATGTGTTTAGGAGCGTTCGAGCAGAAATAGCGGGAGAAGTTCATTACTATATTACAGACAAGTGTGTGTTGACCAATAAAAAAATTTACACATTGTCACGATTCAAATACCCTGACTCAAAGTGCACTGTGGTCTTTTACACGAGTGGACGTGATGTGCATTGTTCTTGTGGCATTTTTTAGTTCTGCGGAATTCCATGTCGGCATATATTCTGTATATTGAAAGCAGAAAATCAAATACAAATTCCCAAGTCACTCATTTTGAAGCGTTGGACTAAAAATGAAAAAGAGTTTGATCCCTCGAGTATGGGAAGCTGTCCTACCCAGCAAAATATTAGCAGGTATTATAAATTTAAGCTGCTGATTTAGTTCTTTGTTTACTTCTATTATGCTTGGAACCAAGTACAAAAGTGCTTGTTTATTTGGACAAGTTTGGATTCTTGGTTGGTCAATGTAGTAGAATGTGCCATTATGCTGTGAGTTTGGATGAGGCATTTCATACTGTCAAAGGGTTGGTTGAAGACTTGACCTTGCGAGTGAAGACAATAAGTGAAGAAACAACCAGCAAAACAAATAATGCTACTACGGATGCTGGAGTGAACTCCTCTCAGTTTATTAAGGACCCTCATCCAGTTCGAAGTAAAGGGAATGTGAAGCAACCTCAAGTTAAAACACGGTTTTGCAAGTATTGTAGGCGTCCTAAACATAAAATCAGAAATTGCCCGCTGAAAAGAATGGGTGAAGCAGGTGCAGGTGATAGTCATTTCACGCAACAAGAATACAACTTCGAGTCCATAGGAGCAAGTGAAAGCAGCTTTCATGTGGAGACTCAAGAATCTGTTCTACTTCCCAAACGATCCAAGCACAACCTGTAATGCTGGTGTTCGGCTTCAAACAACATTATGTTTCATCTTGTAATGTTTGTTTTGTGCAAGTTAGTATCTAGTGACATTGAATGGATCTATGTAATGCTCGTGTCTAGCTTCAAAGAACATTATGACTCATCTTTTCATAAGCTTGTAGTTTTCAAAAACAGTATATTATATTTCTTACACCATTATAATAAGTATAGGGGTTAGTTCTACAGGTGAATGTCTGTGCAGACTACTTCTGGAAATCTCATGGTCAAATCTGGAAATCTCACGGCCGTAAAAGCAGTCGTGTTTTTGGATTTGAAATTCTGGAAATATCACGGCCGTGAGAGAGGCCGTGAGAGCGTACGTGGATGTAAAAATGCAGTTCTCAGTTTCCCAGGGGTTTTCACGGGTTGGGTTCGACAATATCACGACCGTGAGATGAGCCGTGTTTTTGGATTTGAAATGTTGGGTTTCTCACGGCTCATTTGTAAAATCTCACAGACGTGAGACTAAGCCGTGATATGGAAACCACTCCCAATTTCGCACGCCTCATAACCGAAATCGCACAACCGGGAGATGTACCGTTAGATTAAAAAAAATAAAAAGAAAGTCACAGGGAGTTTCACGGGTTGGAGTTGGTAATATCCCGCCTGGGATAAGAAGCCGTGAGATGGGAACCCTAAAATTTCAAACTACCTATTTTGTTCGAAACCTCTTCTCCCTCTGTTCTACTTCGACCCCCAACCATCTTCTCCTACCTCGCCCTCGCTCGCTCGCCCTCAACTCCTCCTCGTAACTGCTCCCCCCTTCCGCGGCCGATCAGCAACTGTCCCCCCTTCCCCGGCGCCTCCTTTGTTCCCCTTCGATCCCTAATGCCTCACAAGGTTCAGCGGCGACGACGACCACTTCCCCACGAGTCCCCTGTTCCACTTTGATCCCCAGCCCTCTCTCAACCTCTTCTCCGACCTCACCTTCTCTCAACCATCAATCCCCAATCCCTCTCCCAACCTCTTCTCCTACCTCGCCCTTTCTCAACCTCTTCTCCCACAAGTAAATGGAAGTTCCCATCATTTTCTAGTATGGAAGTTCCAATCATTTTACTTCTTTTGTTCTAAGGTAGTCTGAATGCTTCTGGTGAGTTCTTCTTAACCATAGTGCCACTCTTCTCTGGTTTTTTTTTACATTTTTTAGGGTTTAGTTGCCCAATGTTGGTCTAAATTAGGGTTTTGAATTCCTTATCATCGATTTTCTTAGTGAATTTCGATTGTCCTGTCCTGGCTTTGAATTGATGCTTCTCTTCCGTTTCACTACTTGGCCAATGTAATCTACTTCAAGGCTGCTGGCTTTTGCAGTGAGCATTGACATGGTTCTGACTGATCATGATGGTGTAGACGTGATTAGAATGCTCCTGAGATCTTCTCCCTTGACGTCACATTGACTATTCCATCCTCGCCGATCTCCAATGAAGGAAGCAAAGATAACAAATTTTCCAAACTTGATACTATCCTTGGACAAGGAAGGAAACAAAGAGATGGAGATCGATATACAGAGAGAGATCTAAATACATAGAGAGAAGTTTTGAGTGGGAGGGATGCAATGGGTGAAAGACCCCTGACCAAGGATTGTAGCAAGCTTGGAAATTTTTTTCTGTCCGGTATCACCCCATCTCCAGGGGGAGTTACAATAGTAGAGGATACCTTAGAGATCGACGAGGATGGAATACTCAAAGAGACGTCAAGGGAAAAGTCTGTAAGTCTATATCTTCCAGTATCTTTGTTGAAAACTGGAATGCATACGAGATTCCTTGATTTGTGAATTGCTTATGCTTACGCACAATTCTTTTCTCTCTCATTTACTAAAGACTAAATGTGCTTAGTTGGTTTTTGTAGGAATGGGGAAAGCTAAACAAAAAACCACGCAACCATCAGCCTCACCTGCCAAAGTGAAGGCTCCTTCTCGTCGTCGCCGTCAAACCCAACAACGAGACACTCCCCCCAAACGAAAACGCAAAAACAACCAAGGACGGGTGAAGCGATATCGACTAGCGCGATATTCAATTCTCGTGGTCCCAAAATGAAGGTTCGAATTCAACGATTTAAGGATCAACTGGGAGCATTCTTGATGGATAAAATGGAGAATGCATTAAGGATCCAGCCTACAACATTTCTTAGAGCCCAAAACGTCCATCCTTGCTGCCCAAGTCATCCAAATGTGAAAAGGACAAGGAAAGAGATTGCTTAACCACTAAGGAGCTTCCTTAAGCATTAAAAACGTGTTTGGATATTACTTAGCTACTAAGGAGCTTCCTTTGGTCATAAAACCGAGTTATAGTCCTTATTTAAGTAGTATTATGTTTCCTAGTTAGTTTGGGATTTGTTTTCCTATTCCTTTTAGGTTAGTTTTATGTCTTTGTGACCTCTATAAATAGAGGGTGTAAGACCTACGAATTTAATTCCCAACATTCAAGTTTCAGCAATCAAATACAAGTGTTTACAAGTTCAAGTGAACGTTTTGCTTAATCGCTCCTTTGAGGATTCGGGAGGTTTGAGTGGTCTCTTATCAACTAGAGAACGCGTCTAGTTGTGGCGAGCATCGACGATATCGGTTGGCCTCTTCCACGGGTTCGAGATTGTTTGGAAGGTTTCATATACCTTCTGGCCCTTCTCACGAGTTCGGATTTGTTTGATCGATTCCGCAAGTATCTTTATTTCGTGTTATTCAAGAAAGGAGAAAACCCCTAAAAAGTTCGACGTGTGAAACTCTTGTTTTTGGTCCGATTTGGGAGGATTCTCGAATTAGGATCATATCAAGTGGTATCAGGAGCCCGGTTCAAACGCAGCGGAGAAGACAAAGATTCTTGGAGTTCTTGGTAGTTCGAGAATCATTCTTGGAAGTATTGAACGTCAAGAAAGCAAATCTTGAACGTTCTTGAGAGTTTCTTGTGCGGTAAGGAAGGTATCTTGAAGACAAAGCATTCGTGGGGTTCTTCTTTAGTAAGAAACCATGGCGAAACAAGCACAAAACGTGGCGGCAATATTACGACACATCAGCGCGCAAATAGAAGCTTATCGTCAAGGGCAAGCACAAATAAATGCGAGCCTTACTCGATTGGCAATTTCATGGGGAATTAGTGCGTTAGCAGTAATAATCCAACCAGAAGCTCCGTTGAAGATAGGGAATCCAAATCCATATCAAGAGCATTCTTTTGAGGCTACCATAGAGACACAAGAGACAAGTCCATAAGTTTTTGACATCAAGATTCAAGCAATTCAACATAAAGACAAGGAGGAGTATATTGAAATCTCGACTATGCAAGGTCGACTTTTGGATACTTGTTGTGAAGAGTATGAAGATTCCGATGAAGTAGAGGCGATACAAGATATTCTTGTTGAAGTTCCATATTTGAGTACGCAAGAAGTTGAGCAACACAATGAGGAACAAGACTGTCATGGAGTAGATGAAGCCACGAAAGTTATGGAGCACTTACCAATAGTTTCCAAAGTTGCTCATATGGATTTTGTCATTGGAGATACTATTTCCAAAGAGGAAGCCAGACTAGAGAATCGACGAGAAGTTCAGAGCTACATGGAGGCTTTTCATCGCAATGGTGTCTCTACAATTCGTGGACGAATTGTTCTTAAGAAGGGGGGAATGATACAATCCTCACTACCAAGACAATTTAATTCAAAGGCCAAGAAGAGTGGTGCTGATCGAGGATCAAGATTCTGTAAAGATTCGAGGTCGAATCTTCTTCAAGAGAGAGGGAATGATGCGATATCGACTAGCGCGATATTCAATTCTCGTGGTCCCAAAATGAAGGTTCGAATTCAACGATTTAAGGATCAACTGGGAGCATTCTTGATGGATAAAATGGAGAATGCATTAAGGATCCAGCCTACAACATTTCTTAGAGCCCAAAACGTCCATCATTGCTGCCCAAGTGATAGACCGTCATTTACACATGTTTTTACCCTCATACTTACACCGTTTGAGGTGTTGATTCTCGTGTTTTAGGCCGATTTCACGCTAGGTTGTGCTTGTTTGTGTTATTTCAGGTCCTAGTACGTGAATGAAGGCTTAGGAGCGAGTCTGGGGTCGATTGGACGAAGAACGGACGAAGGGCGAGCTTTTGGAGGAGTGCACGGGCAGACCAGGAGGCTGCACGGCCGTGCACATGAGCCATTTGGCCGTGCGCCTCATGTCGAGGCCGTGCACGGGCACATTCCAGGCTTGCACGGCCGTGCGCCTGGCCGTGCAAGGAGGCTGAGCTTGAATAAATGAAACGGCGCGTTTTGGAGAGTTGCACGGCCAGAATGGGGTGGTGCACGGCCGTGCACCTGCCCGTGCACCTGGGGAAATCCGGTTTTAGTGCCTAATCCGAGCCAAAAGAGGGAGAATCGTGTTTTGAGAGCAAAAACAGAGCCCTAGAGAGAGAAAGTGCGAAGAACTCATCCTAGAAGCCGTCTTGGAGCTGGATTTCATCAAATCGAGCCTGGAGATCGTCATAGGAGTGAACATCATCGTCCCGGAGCAGATTATCCTCATCGTTATGAGTATGACTAATCCGATTCTTGTTTTCTCTTCTCTCTCTATGGAGTAGAACCCTTCTCTCACTTGGGTATGAAGAACCCTAGTTCCTTGTGTTAGGGATTTGATTGTAATGACTTGGGATGATATTATTGTTTGATTTTAATCGAATGACGCATGTTTCATGAATTGATTTGAGTCTGATCAGCTTGTCTCAATTTCTGCTTCAACCTGAGATAGATAGGATCTGATTAGGTTGTTAGAGCTTCTTCATTCGATAGTAGGAGATTGGCTATACGAGAGTTAGCCACTTTACTGCTTTGTACTGGTGTTCTTGACGCCAGTAGTGGAGTTCTGTGTTCATAGCCTCAGCTTTCTATCCTGGTGAAGACTAGTCGTCTGCCGGGTAGTTATACTGAGAGGGCTTGGTCAGCTTAAGAGATTCCAAGCTACTGTCGGATCTTCCGCAGTCTAATCAACAGTAAATCAACCCAGGGAATTGCAATTGAACCTAACTAAGGGGCTAGGGGGACTCAATCCCGAGTGACTCTTAACTGCTTTTGAAAACCGAACCATTTCCTGCTTTCTTACTGCTTTTGCGTTTCACAACAATCACTCGACTTAGTTTGCTAGATAATAGAGAATCACGGAGTAAGCAGTAGATCTAGACCCCGGGTTGATAATTAAACTTGCCTATACTGCAGTCCCTTTCATTGGTTATACTTGGCCATTGTTAGGTGTTGTGTTTTAGCGTGTCAAGTTTTTGGCGCCGTTGCCGGGGACCCTCTAGGTTATTGGGGAAACGTGATAATTTGTTACTCTAGCTTTTTATTTTCTGCATTTTCTTTCTTCCACCTGTGTGCCTTCACGGGTTGCTTCTGCTGATTGTGTGCAGGTAGTGCATGACCCGTAGCCAGTCGGGAGATCTACTACCACTTGACCAGGAGCTTGAACGAACCTGTAGGAACTCCAAGCGGGTTCTAAAGGCGCGACTGGCTGCGGAGAAGGCGCTGTCACAGCTGCAGTTAGAAGAAGAAGAAGAAGGAGAGATGGGTGATCCGCAGAACCATGCTGTGATCCCCGAGGAGCAGACCATGGGATCCTACTGGGCCGCTAGGGCTGCGGACATGAGGTCACCTATTCAACACCCTCAGGTCCCAGCCAACAACTTTGAGGTGAGCACCTCTGTGATCACCATGCTGCGCGGTTCAGTAGTGTTCCGTGGTAAGGAGGGAGAGTGCCCTCGATCACATCTCAGGCGATTCCACGAGCTCATCGATGGAATCAAGATCAATGGGGTACCAGCCGATGCCATCCAGCTGAGGTACTTCCCATTCACTCTGGAGGGGCAGGCCAAGGAGTGGCTAGACACTCGACCTCCGGGCTCCATCACCACGTTCGCCAACCTGGCGGACAAGTTCCTCACCCGCTACCATCCTCCATCTAAGACAGCTGATCTCCAGAAGCAGATTACACATTTTGCTCAGGATGAGGATGAGACCATCAGGGATGCATGGGAGAGATACAACAGCCTTTTCCTCAGGTGCCCCAATCATGGTTTCAACGACGCATTCAAGGTGGGCACCTTCTATCACGCCCTCTTCCCGGAGGACAAGCAGCTGATCGATTCGGTTTGTGGCGGGAACATGCTGACCAAAACCCCGCCACAGCTGAATCAACTCTTTGAAGAGATGGCGGAGAATGGTTATGATTGGGGCACTGCCAGGAGATCGAGGAGAGCACCAGGCCGGGGTGTGCATGTTGTGGGCACCCAGTCATCTGATTTGGTGCAGGTAGTATCGAAGCTGGTCTCAGCTATCGATCGTTCCGGGATGATTCCAGGGACCGGACAGCAGCAGGCGATGCTCTGCCAGTGGTGCGAGAGCACTCATCATATGGTGGAAGACTGCCAAGCGATGAAGGAATCGACCACACCCCAGGAGCAGGTGAACTTCATCAACAATGTCAGGCGCAATGACCCCTACAGCAACACGTACAATGAGGGGTGGCGCCAGCATCCTAACTTCTCCTGGGCTGGGCCAAATCCCAGACCACCACCTCCACAGGGACCACCGGGCTTCCAGAGGCCACCATATCAGCCCAGACAGGGGCAATTCCAGCAGCCAGGTGCAGCCCCTGCTGCCCCAGTGCAGAACGATAAGATGGCTGAACTGCAGGACTTGGTGGGTTCTCTCGCCAGTGTTAGTGCTCAGAAATTCAACACCTTTGAGCAGTTCATGGAGAAGGCCTCGGGTCAACTCCTGGCTCTGGAAGCTGGTCAGAGGAATACACGGGCTGTTTTGCAGGATATCCAGACCCAGCTGGGGAGCGTGGCCAAAGCAGTGGCTCAAAGGGCGCCTGGTACTCTACCAGCGCAGACCATCCCTCATCCTCGCGACCCCCACGAGACTGCCAATGCCATCATGACCAGGAGTGGCAAGCTGACTGTTGATCCACCTGCTCGGGAACCGGAGAAAGAAAGCCCTGTCGTAGCATCTCCAGCGGTGGAACACGAAGTAGAGAAGGAGGTTGAGGTGCCTGCACCTAAACCGCAACCAGTAGTGAAGGAGTATGTCCCTAAACTCCCTTTCCCTACTCGGTTGCACAGAGACAGGCTGGAGACAGAGTTCGAGAACTTCATGGCCATGCTCAAGAAGCTGAATGTCCAAGTGCCCTTTCTTGAGGCACTATCGCAAATGCCAAAGTATGCGAAGTTTCTGAAAGAGCTTCTCTCAAAGAAGCAGAAGCTGAGTGAGCTGGCCACTGTGGAGCTCAGCGAGGAGTGCTCGGCTATTCTGCAGAACAAGCTGCCGCAGAAGAAAAAGGACCCAGGTAGTTTCACTATCCCGTGCTCTATCGGTAAATTGCATGTAGAGAAGTCCTTGGCGGATTTAGGTGCTAGTATCAATGTTATTCCATATAAATTGTTCATGAAACTAGGCCTAGGTGAACCCCGTGCTACTAGGATGACCCTTCAATTAGCTGACAGATCGGTAGTGCATCCTAGGGGTATAGTGGAGGACCTTCTGGTCAAGGTTGGAAAATTCACATATCCTGTGGATTTTGTTATCCTGGACATCAGTGAGGACACAGAAGTGCCTCTTATACTGGGAAGGCCTTTCCTGGCCACCACCAAGGCTCTCATAGATGTGCATGATGGGACCTTAGTTCTGAGGGATGGCGAGGAGCGAATAACATTTTCTGTTGCTAACACTATATCTGATTCGTTACCTCTGCATGCTGTATCTCACCAGGAGCACGAGTCTGTCGTGTATCCTTCTGTGCTGCCTGTTTTGCAGGACCCGCCTCTCACCTCTTCGCCGCCACTCCGGACCACTCCATCATCCAAAGAACAGGTCAAGGAGGAGTGGCGGCCGAAACTGCAGGCAGCTAAGCCTGCTCGCAAGAAAGCCGGAGACCACTATGAGCTGGTCCCGCCCCCACCTTGGCCATCCGAGTATTCACTCGCTTGCATCCTACCGGATGGCCAAGTCGAGCTGGCAAATGCCGGTGGCCACATTCGTCGTGTACATGGCCACCATTTGAAGCTGTACCTCAAGAGCGAAGTGGATCCGCTCTTGAGGGCACCTGATCCTACACTTCCCTGAGCATCCATACTGGCGTCCAGCTAAAAGACGGTAAAGAAGCGCTTGTGGGGAGGCAACCCCACCGAGGTTTGCATTTTCTTACTCTTTTTTCTTTGATTTTGTGTGTTTTTTAGTCTTGAGACGTTGATCTGGAGTTACGTGTCGTTTTTGAGTGAAAACAGGTTGATTTCGGGACCCAGCAAGGTGCACGGCCAGAAAATCAGCTTGCACGGCCGTGCGCCTTAGCTAGCCTGGCCGTGCACGCTCTCGTCGCAAGTTGCACGGCCAAAAGTGCATTGTGCACGGCCGTGCACATCCTCGGCCAGGCCGTGCACCTTGCACGGCCAACATTTCAGCTCGCACGGCCGTGCAGCACCCTCGGCCAGGCCGTGCGAGCTCTCGCACCAAGTTGCACGGCCAAAAGCACCTTGTGCACGGCCGTGCAACTCCCTCGGCCAGGCCGTGTCGGCCTGCACGGGCAAAATGCCAAGGTGCACGGCCGTGCGCCTCTGCCCGTGCAGCCGAGGCACGGGCTCTATAAATGGCCGTGCACGGCCAGGCCGTGCATGCAGGAGGTTCAGCAGCACCTGCTTCAGCTGGTTCCGGGCGATCCACCGGTCTGGAGGACTCCCTGGGATGACTCCCCTCCCCATGACGGCGCGGCTGGCGCTGCCGGTGATGATGCATTCATGGATGACATCGACTTCACCGATCTTGGCGACGAGTAGGCTGTACTCGTTGCCCGTCTCAGTGTGTCTGTTTTTTGTTTTTTTTAAAGACTTTTGAGTGTTTGCTCCATGTGTGCGGAGCTTGGACTTAGTGTCGGTTGTTTTTTTTTGTTTTTGGTTTTTCATGTGTGTTTTGATGTAGCCGTCTGGGCTAACACTTATCCCTAACACCAGTGTGCTAGTGTTTCTGCTGTTCGATTTGTGCAGTATTGACCACTTCCCCGTTCGCTTCTCGCTGACTGGTCCACTTCCAGTCCCCCAGCAGTGTTCTTACCCGGTAACATCGTTCCCCTTATCTTTCCCTCTACTCCATTGAGGGCAATGTCGTGCTTAAGTGTGGGGGGATGTTCTGTATCGGTTGGAATATTTTAGATGGTGCCTTGGAGCCTAGTCCACTGTCCGAATCTTACGATTTGAGGGCTCCAAGTACTGCTGTTTGATCATATTGGCACTGTGTTTTGATGGATGAATTGATTGGTTTTCGGATTAATGCATGCCAACTTGTTTGCGACTAGGACAACCTATGATGAGGACTGAGATGTGCAGTAGAACGATGTAGGGATTCAGTTTTTCAACTGTTTGCTTGCCAACTGTGACTTGATCTGACTTGATCTGATTACTTGTTCTTGACAGTCGTTTATGCATCTAGTTCAGGGTATCAGAATGTGAGATAGAGCATATAGGTAGCCATGTGAGATTTGAGCCTGCTCGTTTCTTTCTTTTGCGATAGATCCCTCTTCCATGATGTGTAGCATTCACGTTGTCACTAGCTAAGATGATGGGGGCATAGGATTAGCCCACGCCCAAAACTGACTGTCCTCATGTGTCATATCCCCTAGTCAGCCCCTTTGAGCCGTGTGTTATCCTTTCTTTTGGTCTTTAATGAAAAAATCACCCTTGTCGCATCTTTTAGAAGGTTCCACAGAGTGGTTTTTACATATTCTCTGCTGTTTCTGCTTAAGTCTATGTGAGTGTTGGAGGCAGTGCTTAAATGTTGGGCATGTGTTTGAAATGTGCAGAAGTGGTGGCTCTCTTAAGAAATGAAAAGAAAAATAAAAGAAAAACAAAGAAAAATTGAAAGCAAAAGAGAGCCACTACCAAAAATCTGAATAATGCCCAGTAAGTAGTGTTTCTTAGCAGTCTGGCTTGGAAATGCTGATGTTTATGCCTCCTTCGCTCTTGTGCTCTTAAGATATTGAGTAATGCAGGATAGCAGAAAGAAAATACCGGGTTGTTGACTGTGTTTGTGTGTTTGGAAAATGTGGGATCTTTTGCTATGAATACTTCCACCACCTAAAAGGCCTTTTCCCCATGTCCAAGACCCTAGCCAGTCATTTGAACCTGTGTCTAAGACCTCCTGATTAGTTAGTGGTGACACCCCATATGTGAACTCTAGCATTTAGAGGCTGCCATCATGGTGAAGAGATGATAGGATCGAGAGAAATAGCATGCGCATCTTTCGCATCAAATTGTCCTGACCCCACTGGTCGAGAGTGAGTGATTCATTTTCATTTTCTATATGCTCTTGTACCCCGGTGAGGACCTAGATTGCTCGGTCTCTATTCTGATGTTTTGAGTTGGATGCATGAGTTGACTGTTTTGAGTAAGTGGTTGAATCAAGTCTAGGTTGGCCAGTGAACAGGAGGGAGACTCTTCCTTTACTCGATTTGCTGCACTCGAATGTCCTTTGTGGTGGTTGTCCAGGTTGTTATTGAGGTTGTGCATGTATTGATGTTTGAAAACCAGTGCGATTCACGTGTTTTGTGCCTTTATGACTTGTCCCCAATGTTGGTTGATTGAAATATGTAAGCTTACCTAGTGTCTGACTTGGTTTGCTTGGGGACAAGCAAACGGTTAAGTGTGGGGGAGTTTGATAGACCGTCATTTACACATGTTTTTACCCTCATACTTACACCGTTTGAGGTGTTGATTCTCGTGTTTTAGGCCGATTTCACGCTAGGTTGTGCTTGTTTGTGTTATTTCAGGTCCTAGTACGTGAATGAAGGCTTAGGAGCGAGTCTGGGGTCGATTGGACGAAGAACGGACGAAGGGCGAGCTTTTGGAGGAGTGCACGGGCAGACCAGGAGGCTGCACGGCCGTGCACATGAGCCATTTGGCCGTGCGCCTCATGTCGAGGCCGTGCACGGGCACATTCCAGGCTTGCACGGCCGTGCGCCTGGCCGTGCAAGGAGGCTGAGCTTGAATAAATGAAACGGCGCGTTTTGGAGAGTTGCACGGCCAGAATGGGGTGGTGCACGGCCGTGCACCTGCCCGTGCACCTGGGGAAATCCGGTTTTAGTGCCTAATCCGAGCCAAAAGAGGGAGAATCGTGTTTTGAGAGCAAAAACAGAGCCCTAGAGAGAGAAAGTGCGAAGAACTCATCCTAGAAGCCGTCTTGGAGCTGGATTTCATCAAATCGAGCCTGGAGATCGTCATAGGAGTGAACATCATCGTCCCGGAGCAGATTATCCTCATCGTTATGAGTATGACTAATCCGATTCTTGTTTTCTCTTCTCTCTCTATGGAGTAGAACCCTTCTCTCACTTGGGTATGAAGAACCCTAGTTCCTTGTGTTAGGGATTTGATTGTAATGACTTGGGATGATATTATTGTTTGATTTTAATCGAATGACGCATGTTTCATGAATTGATTTGAGTCTGATCAGCTTGTCTCAATTTCTGCTTCAACCTGAGATAGATAGGATCTGATTAGGTTGTTAGAGCTTCTTCATTTGATAGTAGGAGATTGGCTATACGAGAGTTAGCCACTTTACTGCTTTGTACTGGTGTTCTTGACGCCAGTAGTGGAGTTCTGTGTTCATAGCCTCAGCTTTCTATCCTGGTGAAGACTAGTCGTCTGCCGGGTAGTTATACTGAGAGGGCTTGGTCAGCTTAAGAGATTCCAAGCTACTGTCGGATCTTCCGCAGTCTAATCAACAGTAAATCAACCCAGGGAATTGCAATTGAACCTAACTAAGGGGCTAGGGGGACTCAATCCCGAGTGACTCTTAACTGCTTTTGAAAACCGAACCATTTCCTGCTTTCTTACTGCTTTTGCGTTTCACAACAATCACTCGACTTAGTTTGCTAGATAATAGAGAATCACGGAGTAAGCAGTAGATCTAGACCCCGGGTTGATAATTAAACTTGCCTATACTGCAGTCCCTTTCATTGGTTATACTTGGCCATTGTTAGGTGTTGTGTTTTAGCGTGTCACCAAGTCATCCAAATGTGAAAATGACAAGGAAAGAGATTGCTTAACCACTAAGGAGCTTCCTTAAGCATTAAAAACGTGTTTGGATATTACTTAGCTACTAAGGAGCTTCCTTTGGTCATAAAAACGAGTTATAGTCCTTATTTAAGTAGTATTATGTTTCCTAGTTAGTTTGGGATTTGTTTTCCTATTCCTTTTAGGTTAGTTTTATGTCTTTGTGACCTCTATAAATAGAGGGTGTAAGACCTACGAATTTAGTTCCCAACATTCAAGTTTCAGCAATAAAATACAAGTATTTACAAGTTCAAGTGAACGTTTTGCTTAATCGCTCCTTTGAGGATTCGGGAGGTTTGAGTGGTCTCTTATCAACTAGAGAACGCGTCTAGTTGTGGCGAGCATCGACGATATCGGTTGGCCTCTTCCACGGGTTCGAGATTGTTTGGAAGGTTTCATATACCTTCTGGCCCTTCTCACGAGTTCGGATTTGTTTGATCGATTCCGCAAGTATCTTTATTTCGTGTTATTCAAGAAAGGAGAAAACCCCTAAAAAGTTCGACGTGTGCAACTCTGGTTTTTGGTCTGATTTGGGAGGATTCTCAAATTAGGATCATATCAACGGGCACGTCAACCATCTCCACCACCACCACCACCACAACCAGAGGCTCAACTTGGAGGAGGGGGACTGCACGAATTCCTCCAACTACCCGACAAACATAGGAGGGCTTTGGAGCGCTTCCTTCCACTCCCATTTGGGTAGCAAAGATGCTTTGATTGGGATCTCCTAGAGCGCCTCGGAGCAGCGGACCCCGTTCGCACATGCCTCCGTCTCCCGGCATGGTGTGAGGTTCTCTCCATCAATGAGGTCATCTACCGAGAGCTTACCATTGAGTTCCTCAACACTCTCTCTATCAAGTATATAACCGAGTTTAACCTCGACAAGCCCCAAGACCACATAACTTTTCGCCTTGGAGGACAGGCGAGACAGATGAGCATCACTAAGGTCACAGAGGCACTCCAGATATACCCACCAGGATTTCCCACCACAGATGGACATGGTTTGATTTTAGAGAAAATATATCCACCAAGAGCAGCATTGGTCGTTGCTATGTGGATAACGGTGAAACAAAGCCATGTGGCAAAGTCTGACACTGCCCACTATAAAGGGAATGATTTTCTTCCCCCATGGCGTATCATCCACAACATTATCGCTCATTCTATGGCAGCTAGGGAGGGGAGCCTGGGGAGTGTGACCAAGCGGGATTTGAACTTTTTCCTCTCTATGGTAAAAGATCCCCCAATTCATCTTGTTTTAGTCATACTGAAAAACCCTACAGAAGATGACCTCCAACAAAAAAATCAAGACCATCCATGGAGGTGCCTACATCACAAGGCTAGCTCGGCATTTTGGCATTAATCTGGTGGGTTCTCATTGCACCATTGCCCAGTCCACTCAACCAATCTCCCAAAAAAACCTTGCGGATCTATATTTGTTGTCAAAGGTAAATGTTCCAACCAACACTTTCCTTTTTACAGTGAATGCTAAAACAAAAATAGTTGGGATTCAAACAATCTAGGATTGATTTTGTGCAAGTTTGGATTGCCTACTAATCTAGTTCCTTTTGAACATTGAGCAAATGTAACTAATGCTTCTAATATTGATCATGTATGTGTTTGGTGGTTAAGGAGAATGGTGTGCTAGGCATTGTTGGCCTCCCTCATCCTGCTCCACCTCTTGCAACAGATGAGGCAAACGCATCAGAGCATGTTGTTCAGCAAATGGTCGAGGAGACTCCGGAACAACCTGCACAACATCACTAAACTACGACTCAAGCCGGACCATCCACCGACACATACATATCCCATTTGGAGGCATTGGGTCGGTAGAATGCCCAAATTCTGGAGCAAAATGCACTCATTCTCTCCCGCCTCGATCGAGAGAAGGAAGCTTGACGCTGCATCATCAAATGAAACCATCACATCATGAGGTCCTTGAGGATTGACTACAAAAAATTCTCAAGAACTTGGGAACTATCTCCTAAGCCAACCGAGAAAAGCAATGAAGATGGAAGTGAAGAGGATGACGAGGGTAATGACGATGAGCAAAACAAGGAAAGCATTGAAGAGGACAATGACACCAATGAGGAAGAGGGCTTTGAAGAGGATGATGAGGGCAATGACGATGACCAAAACAAGGAAAGAAATTAAGAGGACAAAGGGACCAATTAGGAAGAGGGCAGTGAAGAGGACGACTATGGCAATGGCGATGACCAAAACAAGGAAAGAAATCAAGAGGACAAAGGGACCAATAAGGAAGAGGGCAGTGACTCTAGCAAGGTCAATGAAGATGAGCAAATCCAGGAAAACAATGACGAGGACGAGAACACTGACGAGGAAGATGGGCAGTGAAGATGAGCCAACCAAAGTCCTTAGTACTTAGTAGGGCTGTCCATTTGGTTTTGGTTTTTGGTTTTAACCGAAACAAAACCAATTAGAAAGCTAATGGTTTCAGTTTTTTGGTTTTAAGTCAATAAACAACTTAATGGTTTTGGTTTGGTTAAAACCAAAAAACCAATAGAAACCATTAAGAAACCAATAAGAATAAAATTATTTATCAACAAATATTTTTTTTTGTTTCTTTTGACACGCATGCCAACCAATAATTTGTAATGGTCATTTACCATTATTATGACGTTTATTCAATAAAAAGGAGGAAAATAGGAATAAATATGAGTGTGTGAGTACATGTTGGTTTTTTGGTTATCCAAACCAAAATCAAAACCATTAAGGCCCTTATTGGTTTTTGGCCAAAAACCAATAAGGACCTTAATGGTTTTGGTTTTGGTTTTGTGATTTGGTTTTTGGTTTTTCATACTTAATGGTTTGGTTAACCAAACCAAACCAAATTGACAGCCCTAGTACTTAGCTATGTGTGTTTGCGTTTGTGCTTGTATGTTTTCCAATTAGAATATGATGATGCACCGGTGTGGGCTACATCCAGCTGAAATTAAGCATTAATAAGACAGATTTAATCGTGTTATGGATGCTTGTTTTATTAGACAAATGTAATGCTTTGACTACTTTTTACTTTTTGTTAACATGGTATCTCATCTGATATGATGTACGGTTACTAGAGAACATTGTGAATGGATCTATGTAATGCTTGTGTCAAGCTTTAAAGAACATTATGAATTTTTCACCAAAAAAAAAAAGAACATTATGAATCATCTTTTTCATAAGTTTGAAGTTCTGGAAAAAAGTCCATTCTGTTTGAAACACCATTATAATAAGTACAGGGGATAGTTCAACAGGTGAAAGTCTCCTACTGGAAATCTGACACCTTATACTGGTATCTCACGACCGTAAAATACTCAAGTGAGATGTAAAAAGCAGTGCTTCATTCCTCAGGCAAATCTCACGGCCACGAGATGTCCCGTGAGATGCAAAGGGCAGTTCTCACTATCCCATGAAATTTCACGGCTACTACTTGACATTCTCATGCCCGTCAAAATCTCACATGAAATTGAAACACATAGCTGCCACTCAAACGTTCTCACAGCTCATTCTGGCAAAATAACAGCCGTGGAATTAAGATGTACCTACACTTTCTAGAGTTGTACCTTTACACTAAACTTAAAGTTGTAACTACACTTTCCTAAAAATCTTCTATGGTAGAATTCACATTTGTACCTATACACTATGGTACAACTAAATGTTGTACCTAAACTATCTAACAAATCCCTCTATGGTACAACTCAAAATTATACCTATACTTGTGGTACAACCTTACGTTCTACCTACAGTTCCTAATAAATCCCTCTATGGTACAACTCAAAATTGTACCTATAGTATGATACAACCTTAAATTGTACCTACACTTTCTCAAAATCATCCTATGGTACAACCCAAACTTGTACCTATACTTGTGGTACAACTTTACGTTGTACATACACTTTCTAACAAATTCCTCTATGGTACAACTCAAAATTGTACCTATACTTGTGGTACAACCTTCACTTTTACCTACACTTTCTCAAAATCCTTCTATGGTACAACCCAAACTTGTACCTATAGCATGGTACAACATTAAAATGTACTTACGCTTTCTAACATATCCATCTATGGTACAACTAAAAATTGTACCATACTATGGTACAACTTTAAGTTGTACCTACACTTTCTCAATATTCTTCTACGGTACAACCCAAACTTGTACCTA